AATGCTTTCCTTGATGTACTTATAAGGTTAGTTATTTAGATTGTTTTCTTTTTTTTTACATGTTAATGTCATGATAAATTGTGATTTTATTACTAAAGTTGAATTTTTTTTTTTTTTTGCACATTGCAATACCTCATCTTCACTAGGGATGGGAAATGTGGTAATCATTTTATAGTTACAGTAGTAGTAGATATAACTAGTGGCTTCTTCAATTTTGAATTTGGTATAAATCCCAACCTTGATCTTGAATTGCTTCTGCTATGTTGTGAGAGTACATCTTCAAATTATTGCTCTTACGCACCATCTTAACTTGGTCAGATTATGATAATTTTGTGCTAAGAAAAGTCAAAAAATTTTATTCTATAAGTATGTTCCTACTGGTTCTCTTGATAATTACCTTTTATTGTTAAGTTAAAAGGAAGCAATACTAAAATAAAATTTTGAATTTTATTAAAAAATGGCCCTTAGTGATCAAAGTTCTAAAGTTCTGAGTTTGGATGTTAACGTCACTGACTATTTTTTTCTATTGGCAGGTATCCACATATGACATGGACTAGTCAAGGCCAACTACAATTATAGTTTGGATTGAAAATAGGTAATTTATATTATAAAATTTTTAATCATTTTTCTATCTTAGTTTTTTAGTTTTTGAAGTGTAGTGCTCCTATGAGGTATATAATTAGCATTAGAATTTAATTGTCTTCTGACTTAAATTTCAATAGTTAAAAAATCAAAAAAGTCAATATAGATTGTGTAGATAAGCATATCAAGTGTAAAGAATGATATAGGAATACAACAAAGAGTAAGCACTAGGTTAGATAGAAGGTCTAAAGAGAGTGATATCTTTGGTTAACAACTGAAGCATAACTTATCTTTGAAAATGGGTAGCCATGATTTGCTCAAGATAAAGATATCATACTACTTTGTAACATCTATGTATGACCTCTTAAGCCTACTATATGAACTTGCAAGTCTCTAAAAGAACTTATCCCAATAGCATAAAAAATGTTTCTTTTTGTTTCTATTTCAATTTTTTAGGTGCATTTTGTGAGGTTTCTATCTTGCTGTGATGGTAGTTTATGAGAATTAAACATTGATTTTTAGTGTTTTTTATTCTTACAGTCCCCTTTTAAATGTGGAAATAGGGAAAATATTTAGCAAAAGATTGTAAAAGAAGGATAGAGTTGCCTACCTTCCTTTGTAGTGAAGTATATTTTCTGTTGAAAAGTATAAATATCCAAAGCCTTAATTTATATTTCTCATTTCCTTTTTCGAGTTTTGAGTCCAATATACATTATTGCATCTTTGTAGTTGATTTCATGATTGTAAGTCAGGATGTTGGGATGTATTTTCATCCTAAATTCACATCATGAATGTATGTAAACCTAGCAATTTCATACACCACACGATGATACAACATGAAAACGACATGGAAAAAAACGTATGTGTTTTAAAAAAACATATTTCATGTTTATTTGTATCAATACGAATTTTGACATAACACAATCTGTGTCGTATATGTGTTGATTCATCTAAACATATGACACGATACGAATAACACATTTAATTTAATCTTGTCATATAAGTACACATTTAACATATTTTTATATTTATTTTAATTTAATATAAACATATAAAGATTATTTTAATTTTTAATTTTTTAATTATGATACTCAATTAGTTATTTAACATCATATAAAAATTATTTTTAACATTTAATTTTTTATATTAATAACATAAATACAATATAAATATTAATATTAGTCCTATATATTATTATTTTATTCTTTAATCTTAAATAGTCTATCATTTTGAATTTGATACTAAAAATTAATATAGTTATATAATATAAATTTAAATTTAAATATATATATTAAATACATATTAAATGAGTATTAACTTTTTTTTATTTTTTAAATATGTATGTACTCTTTTATATTATTAATATGCCAAATTTATTAATTTATAAATGATGGATAGTTTATAGTTATTTATTATTTTAGTCATATTCTTTGTATATATTTATGTTAGTCATATCTATTCGTGTATATTCATATTAGTCGTGTCTATTTGTGTATATCCATATTATTCGTATTTATTCATTTAGTGTTTAAATGGATTTATTATTCGTGTTAATCGTGTTGTGTCATGTATAACATGTATATTAAATGTGTCGTGTTTGAGTTTAAGATTTAAACACATTTTATAATTTATGTCATGTTCATATTTTAAGAATTCGTATCATTACATATGTCAAATACGACACGAAACATGACACGAAAACACAAATTATCAAATCTAAATGTATGTAAATACTTCATTCTAGAATTGTCTTTTTTATTTGATGATTAACCCAATTGCCTTTACTCAAAACAAAACTTGAATCGGTGATCCTGCTAACAATTTTTTGAAGAGGTTGTGGGAACGAGAAGTTTTTTTTTTTTTTTAGGAATTGATTATTGATAATTGGTTTTTTTGCTATTTTAGTTGCTACATAAAGATGCCAGCAAACACCTTAGAAATCTACCAACAAGAAGTGAGAAAATTAAGCGACACAAGTGGTTCAAACCATTGCCATAGAAAAAAAGTCTATCATAGATATTTAAAGGTATGCGTAACATGCCAATTTTCCTTTGTCATCATCGATGCACACAGACAAGTCATTTAAACTAATTAAGATTGGCATGTATATTTTCTATATAGCCAAAGAACTTGCTTTTGGATAGTAGCTAAATATAGGCCTTTTACAAAAATTTAAATGTCACATGATCTAGGTTTATCAGGTCTCTTTGAAGGACAAGCAAATTTGTTAAATCAAAACCAAAATTTACATAAAGAAGAGCATCCTTAATTCATTCATAAATTAAACAAACTGTTTTCTTCTTATATATAATGACAAAAGGTAGAGGGCAAGGATTGGATCCAACCATACAGTTAATGAAACAATAAAGAAAATAGAAGCTGCTATTATGGATGTGAGTCTGTGAGTGAAAAAGATGAATAATTTCAAAGTACAAATTGCTCATGTTCCTAACTTTTGACAAATGACTAATTTTGTATCTAAGTTTTTATTATTTTTCATCTTCTTATATGAAAATTCATCTAAAACAAAAGATGACTGGACGTTGTAGATCATTTTATGACCTATTAGCCGAGGTAATTAATTGTAAGATGCTCTTCCTAGAAGACAAAATATCAAAAGTCTCACCACTTTATGTATTAATGTTAGGTAATTGAGGTTGCTCCCACAAATTGTGTTGTAGAAATATCAAAATATGCACAAGAATTAATAGTTTACAAAAGAGGTATAATAATCAGTTCTTTAAGTAGACTATCTTTGTTGAATAATGGTTATCTTTTATAAGTCAGTCCCTAATTATCTTTGCTAAATAATGATTATCTTTGCTAAATAATGATTATCTTTTATTACAAAGAAATATAATAACATCTTATTTCTTTTATACATTATTCAATATTTAAATTATTAATACATAATTTTATTTTACTTTTATAATTACCAAATTGTCCCATTAATGATACTGCCACCTTGCACAATCACCATGCGAGTGAAAATATATAAATAATTTTGAATACATATTTATCATGAAATATAATAATGGAGAAAAAGTAGACAAAGGTGGTTTTTTTTTTTTTTTCATTTTTTTTCAAAAAAATAAATTACTAATATGATCCTATTAATCTATATTATTGATTTTATAATATCATTTTTATATATTTTAATTAATTAAATTAATATCACTTGATTCGTGATACCAATTTCATCAGAAATTATATATATAAATATAAATTTATCTACTAAAAAACTTTCTTGAAAATATATCAATTTCAAATAATTACGAAAGATTAAATTCAGACTCTTGCTTATTGTCAAAGCTAATGCATATGTTTGAAGAAATCCATTTAATAACTTATAAAGCAAAATTCTTATATTTTTAATAGATAAAAATAATTAAAATTCTATCAATAAAATTTTTAAACTTCATAACTAATATTAAAATATTATTTTATATACAATATATATGTATGATGTTAATTTTTAAATTGTGGTCCAAATAAAAAAAAAAAACAAAAGTAAAGACATATGGAGAAAGATCCTAATTATAAAGTTGATGCAATGCCACAAAAAAAGGAGATTTGCATCTCCGCATGCATGGGATGTTATTTTTCAATTTATATGATGATAAAACGACAAACAAAACTACACTTTTATATTCTTTTTTATTATAGACATTATTTTTCTCTTACAATTTTTAATACCATCATGTATTTATATAATTTGATAACATGACATTTTGTTAACTCAAGTTTGCCAAATGATTTATAATAAAACTTCAATTCCTACGATTAAGATCGAGTTCGAACCTCTTATTTTATCCATTATTATGCTAATATCATGATTTAGTAATTTTTATTTTTTTTTACTTATACATACATTTAACAAATGAGAATAACTATTAATTTTTTTATATTAAAAAGCTTGAAATCCGACAATAAAAAAAAAGTTAAAAATGTTAAAATTTGGATGTTATATTTATCAAATGTCATATTTTATAAATAATTGTATAAATTAATTTAATTAAAACTTAAATTTAAAAAATTATTAATTAACATAAAATCGATTGGACTGAAATAAACTGAAATTGTAATTAAATGCATTTATAGCTGAACTAAGATCCTTTTGTCCTCACGTGGGGTTTTTATTAATTTGCGTGCCACGAATATTGAGATTCCTTCCAAAAAATGTGAGATACTACGTTATCTATCTCATGCAACCACAAAGCAACAACTCAATAATCAAACACCACATTTACGTCACCAATGAATCCTTCCATGCCACGTCAACGACAAGAGCCACGTGTTGAAAAACGATACGAACCATTCAGGAATGGGCTGTAGCGGGAGCATTTTATCTCAAGTAGAACCCATGTCCAACGAGGGCGTTTGAGGAAATTCAAACAATTCAAAGCTCCTTTAGTCCCCATGACGTAGCGCTACAGCCATATAAATTCCATCCACTCGCTCATTCATCAAACCTTTTTTCTTTCACACAAAAATAACAAAAAAAAATCAATAAAAACACCAACCGCCATTTTCTTTTCTCAATCATCAGCTCTCTCTTTCGAAACCCAGGTACCAACCATGAATCCCAGTATTGAATTCTACATAATTTCTTGATTCATTTTTTTTTTATAAATTCTGAATGAAGTTTTGATATGGTTTCTTCTTAATTTTGAGAAGCAAAAAAATGTCATCAGCAGCAATGAAAGGAATAGTTATAAGGACTACACCGGACGTGAATAAGCAGAGGCTGTTCAAAGGAAAATACTTGGATCAATATCAGCTTAACGTTGTTAGAGATCAGAACCGTTCAGTTTTTGGCGTGGTGAAGCCAAGGTCATGTGGTCGTGTTGGAGGAATTAGTACTCGTTGCATGGTCCAAGAATGTTGTTATTTCCTTAGCAATGGAAAGAACATGTCGAGTTCGAGACAGAAGATGCTTGAGACACGGGCACAAGCCATCCTTACCCTGGTCTCTGATCCAACACCAACTATGAAAAAGGCACGCTCTTTTATTTCTCTTAACCAAATACTCGGTTACTCCAACTGCTTAACTTAGTGTTACTTTGTTTTGTAAGGGATGAAGTTTTCAAACTTTGTAAATGGAATTATTAGAGTTATGAAAATAAGTTTCTTTAGAATATATTTAAAAATTCTTAATAATTTATGATAATAATAATTTAATAACACATTTTGATCTTTTAATTATAATTGTGAAATTGAATTTTTTTACTACAAAAAATAGAGTTAAATTAACTAAAAGAGGACATCCCACGTCGAAAATTTTGAGTGTATGAGTGTTGTTTACATAGGATTTTATGTTAACTCAAATCCGTCGGTTTTGAGTTAATGAAATGTTCTATCCCCTAAAAAAAAAAAAAACATGAACTTGTTTTTTAGTCTTGCATTTGGCTAGCTTTTCACATCGAAAAGTTTAAATATATATTTATTTTATATGAAATTTTGTGTTAACTTAATAATCCAATTTTGAGTTAAATGGAGTGTCTGGTGTCTTAAACAAAATTTTTAGGGTGTGGACTTTATCCAATTAGAGATGGTAATAGATAAAGTTTTTTGGCTCGTCTCGAATCTGATTTAATTTATACATATAAAATTCGAATTTGATCCGATCTTATAATTTTTTTTATTTTTTTTTTATATTCAAATCTAACCCGACCCTATATTATATAAATCATACTTGATTTGACTCGAAATTAATAAAATATTTTTTAAAATATAAAATTTATTTTTTAATATAAATATAAAATTAAATAAATATATAAATATAAAATTAATTAATTAATTAAAAATAATTGTTTATATATATATATATCGAGTTCAAATTTATCTAAAACTCAACCTCAATTTGACCTCAATTTTTTTTTTATTATTACCTAATTCGATAGTTGATTTAAAAAAAATATATTAACCTTAAAAAATTGGATCAAATTAAAACTTGTCGAGTACAAGTAGGACTGCCTTCTTTGTATCCAATAAATGGAGACCGCTTAACAGCAGAGAGTACACCGCATGAGGTTGTGATTGGGTCGAATAACCTACAGCTTAAGGTTTGTCCAGTACCCGACATTGATTTTTTCTTACTATTATTTGACTCAACACTTGATTTATAAAAAAAAAAAAAAAAATTGACCCTAAAAATTGGATGTGGAAAAAACTCTCGAGGTACCAGTAAGACTGCCTTCTCTATATCCAATAAATGGAGACCACTTGACGGAGGAGAGTACACCGCAAGAGGTTGTGATTGGGTTAAATAACCTGCAGAAGGTTTGTCCAGTAGTGGTAGCCCAATTGGGGAATCATTTTGGTCAGTTTGGGTCATTACGAACTACATAATTGTGGGTTGGATATTTGGATTGGAGTGCCATAGGCCCATTATGGACCAAATGTGGCCGTTTTGGTCCTTGGGTAGTTTTCGATTTTTACTTTTGACTATCTTACAATTTCAGTAGCTTCATTCCCTGCAGCCTGCTTGCCTATATCTTCTGGAAGTCATCATTGTAACTGATGCCTTTAAATGTTAAGGATTTAAATACAAATGCTAAGGCATATAGCATGATTGCTGCAACTTTGCTTGTTATAACATCTGATACAAAGCTACTGATAGAATGACACTATTTACGTAGCCAACTCTGTACAAACCAATATAGGATAGCCTGCAACTTGATTCAGCATTGACTAATTTCACTTAATCATGTAAAGTGTTTAGAAGGTAGAGTGAGCATAAGGGCATGAATCCTGTAAGCATTCTTCATCTTATCTCATTATTGAACCTCTGAATGCTTTGTATTGAAAAGTTAATTTTTACTATGGCAGTAGTTCACATTTTCTCCGGGTTATTATGAAAGATTGTTAGTTATTAGACAGATTAATGAATTTGTTTTTGTTTTTTATGTAGCTGGGAGAGAAAGGAGCAAAACCGGCAGAGATGTCAAGTATCGGGTTATCAGTTCCACATGGACTTACCATATCAACGGAAGCATGCCAGGAGTATCAGCAGCATGGGATGCAGCTACAAGAAGGCCTGTGGAAGGAGATATTGGAAGGCTTGAAGACTGTGGAAGAGGACATGGGTGCCATCCTTGGTGACCCTGACAAGCCACTCCTCCTATCTGTTCGTTCTGGTGCTGCGGTAAGGGGATTGGGAAGCTTAAATTACTCAATGATCCAATGGGTTATATGCAAAGCCTCTGGTATTTTTTTTTTTATCATAAGCAACTGTGGAAGCCTTATTTCTAATTCTAGGCAATAACCTCACTCATTGTGTATAGACAATTAAGCTAGCTCGGTCACTAACAATTGTTCCGTACGTCTAGATATCGATGCCTGGTATGATGGACACTGTCCTTAACCTTGGACTGAATGATGAAGTGGTTGTTGGTTTGGCTGCAAAAAGTGGGGAGCGTTTTGCTTATGACTCTTATCGACGTTTCCTAGATATGTTTGGAGATGTTGTAAGTGATTTTCCTTCATGAGATGATATGATTCATTACATTAGCATATCTCAAGAAAAACACTGACAACGGATTTCCTTATTCAATGTGTTTTACACAATTTTGTTGGGTGGCCTCAACTCAATGAAAAAAATCCAGTGAGACACATAAACCACCCAAATGCACTGAACAAGGGAAAGTGGTTAAAATCTTAAGGTTATTTGTGAGAGTTTCCTCTTATTGCAATATGGAATAATTCTTTTATCTCTTTTCATTTTTCTTAGTTTTTGTCAACTTTTTATTGGTAATTTTAGGTCATGGGTATTCCACATTCATTGTTTGAGGAGAAGTTAGAGAAAATGAAAGAAGCAAAAGGAGCTAAACTTGACACTGATCTAACATCATCTGATCTCAAAGAGCTGGTAGAACGGTACAAGAATGTTTATTTAGAAGCCAAGGGTGAAAAGTTTCCTTCAGGTAAGAATGCAAAATCGAATCTGATAAACGCACTCGTTCACATTCCTCACTGTACTAATCTTTATTCTAATTTTGAATACCCTCAAAGTGTGGATTTCACATAAGAGTTATGGATGAATTTGAAACTTATTGCTTTTGGTGCATCTTTATTTGCAGATCCAAAGAAGCAGTTATTGTTGTCTGTTAAGGCCGTTTTTGATTCTTGGGACAGTCCAAGGGCCATTAAATATAGAAGCATCAATCAGATAACTGGCTTAAAGGGAACAGCAGTAAATATTCAGACAATGGTGTTTGGAAACATGGGAAATACTTCAGGGACAGGGGTTTTGTTCACTAGAAATCCAAGCACTGGTGAAAAGAAGCTGTATGGGGAATTTCTAGTAAATGCTCAGGTTGTAAACATATAGCCTATTTCTGCACAACTCCCACATTTCTCTCCATATTGCTAAAATCAGTATAAGACTCTTTTGTGCTAATTTATGAATGTGATTGATGAATCGATTTGAAAAGGGAGAGGATGTTGTTGCTGGAATTAGAACACCGGAAGAATTGGACACAATGAAAAGTTACATGCCCGAAGCTTACAAAGAGCTTGTTCAGAACTGTGAGATTCTTGAGCGACACTACAAAGATATCATGGTAAAAGTTTTTCTATACGGCTTTATTCGAGTTTTTGCAGTAACAGTTTTATTTTAATGTAATTCTAGTTGTAATTTAAAGTACCAATGGAATCTATATTGCTGTTTTTTAATAATTGCCAAGGTTATTTTTTAGCAGATATGATGTTGATCAATCTAGACCTATACTAGAAGATATTAATTCTTGGTTTTTACCCCCTTTGTTAAAAACAGGACATTGAGTTCACAGTTCAAGATAATAGGTTATGGATGCTGCAATGTCGATCTGGAAAGCGTACTGGTAAAGGTGCAGTGAAGATAGCTGTAGACATGGCAAATGAAGGGCTTGTTGATAAACACACTGCAATTAAGATGGTGGAACCACAACACGTAGACCAGCTTCTTCATCCACAGGTATACACCTGAGCTAAATATGAGGGAAAAATCTGTTTATTAGTTTTTGTACGAAACAAATGACGCAAGGATCCAAAGGCATGTTCTGCAAATGATAGAACCACCTTAACTTTGGCATTAATCAACTACCAGTAGAGAAATAAAAACTAATCTTTGATGCTGAGGACACTAAAAACAGATGGATTTAATAATACTAACTAATTGGATCATTATTCATATCATTTTTCGGGTGTTTCAATTATTTGATAAATACTATTATAAACTGACTACTGACTAGTTTATTACTGTCCAATTAGTTTGAGGAACCTTCTGCTTACAAAGACAAAGTGGTTGCCACGGGCTTACCAGCTTCTCCTGGAGCAGCAGTGGGGCAGATTGTGTTCAGTGCTGATGATGCTGAAGAATGGCACGCACAAGGAAAGAGTGTCATCTTGGTATGCTAAACTTCATGTCCATTAATAACATTTTATTTTCAAGCTACTCTAAGCTTAATTTCGGCCAAAAGATACTGCCGGTGGAGAGGGCCTCACTATTCAGATGTGTAAACTATTGTAATCTTCTATTCTCTGACAAATTATCAGTGAAAAATCTGTGTACTATGCAGTTAAAGTTCCTTTTTAGATATAATCTGATCAGGAACTGAACACTCTTCGTGATTTTGCATGGTTCAAGGTAAGGACAGAAACCAGTCCGGAGGATGTTGGAGGCATGCATGCGGCTGCTGGGATTTTGACAGCAAGGGGTGGAATGACATCTCATGCAGCTGTTGTAGCACGTGGATGGGGAAAGTGTTGTGTTTCTGGCTGTTCAGATATTCGTGTGAATGATGCTGAGAAAGTAATTTTATTTTCTTCTACCTCCTATAAATTGCCTTTTTCATGAAATGGCATTCCCTGTATATGCTACTTTATATATAATACAGGTTCTCACAGTTGGAGACATAGTGATCAAAGAAGGAGAATGGCTTTCACTCAATGGTTCTACTGGTGAAGTGATTATAGGAAAACAGCCACTTTGTCCTCCAGCATTAAGTGGTGATTTGGAAACCTTTATGTCTTGGGCTGATCAAGTTAGGCGCCTCGAGGTTCTATGTGTCCTTTTGCTGGTCGAAGATTTCTATTATATAATTAAATATTTGAAGGGTCTCTTAACTGATTCAGCCTTATATTTTGCTGATAGGTAATGGCAAATGCTGACACACCCGAAGATGCACTAACAGCAAGAAATAATGGTGCTCAAGGGATCGGCCTATGTAGGACAGAACACATGGTAACTTTTCTCTAATCATATGTGATAGTCTTTTATTAACTCCTCGACTATTTGGATTTTCTAACAATCCACAACCACAACATAAATAGAAGTTCCATGCAAATTGATGGTTCATTTTATTGCTATATGCATAGGAAAAAGTATGCATGATTTGCATATTCAGTTGAGAAAAGTGCATTTATAGTTTTTCCATGCAAATTGATAGTTCTTCTCTTTTGGTGATTACAATAGAGTATCCCTATCAGGCCCCAATTTTGACATGAATTGTTCGGTAATGAGAATGAACATACTATTTTGGGATGTCAAATCAAATTCTATCCTAGATGCATTTTCTGGTGCGCTAAAATCAGACTGCCTTACCATCATTTCTGATAATATAATTTCTAAAGGCTTCATGTTTTTGAATCCTTTTCAGTTCTTTGCTTCAAATGAGAGGATAAAGGCTGTCAGAAAGATGATAATGGCAGTAACACCTGAACAGAGGAAAGCAGCTCTTGACCTCTTACTTCCTTATCAAAGATCTGACTTCGAGGGAATTTTCCGTGCAATGGATGGTACTTTCCTCATTTTCTGTTCTTTAATTTAGAGTATGTGTTATTCTCCAGCTGAGGACTTGCAAGCTGAGTAGCATGTAATGCCAACCTTGTTGGAGCTCTACTGGTGCTTAATATTTGCATAGAATATACTAATATGCCCTCTTTTGGTTTACATATCTGGTGATGAGTGTGAATTCCATTTTAATTCTAGGTCTTCCAGTAACAATCCGATTGTTAGACCCTCCTCTCCATGAATTTCTACCAGAAGGTGACTTAGAACAGATTGTAAGTGAATTAACTTCAGAGACTGGCATGACTGAAGATGAAGTTTTGTCAAGAATTGAAAAGTTATCAGAAGTGAATCCCATGCTTGGTTTTCGCGGCTGCAGGTTAATATTCCATTTTATGACCTTTCTAATCGAAGTTTTGATTCTAAGAACCTTTAAAGCTGATGATATTTGTTTTTCTTTTCATTTCTTAGTAATTGCATGCTGAAATAAAATCCTTGAAGAAGTGGATTCTGTGCTTAATATAGTTTGATCGTGACAACAAATTTCATTTCGTGTCAGTGTCTTCTGAAATATTTTGATTTCTGATTTTCATCAGAATGTATGCATATACTGAATGAAGCACAATAAAACTCCCAAGCATTTGTTGAATTTGAATAATCATAGAAGCATACCTGAAACTTCATCAACTTTTATATGGACTTTGATCTTCTGTTAACAGGCTGGGGATATCATACCCTGAATTAACTGAGATGCAGGCGTGTGCCATCTTTCAGGCTGGTCTCTCAATGAGCAACCAAGGAGTTAAAGTTCTTCCTGAGATAATGGTTCCCCTTGTTGGAACTCCGCAGGTTTGTTTAAACTATCTTCATCTTTCCTCGGTTTTTCCTAAAGCACTTTTTACTATCAAAATGAGCTTCTAATTCATTCTTCCCCGTTGTTTCTGATTTCTACTCATCAAAATCGATTAAGCACTCAAAGCTGCCTTGATCTTTGGGAGAATTGACAATTTAAAGTTGCAGGAACTTGGTCATCAAGTTAGTTTAATACGGAGTATTGCAAAGAAAGTGTTCTCTGAGATGGGTTCTTCCTTAAGCTACAAGATGGGGACAATGATTGAAATCCCCAGAGCTGCCTTAGTTGCCGATGAGGTATTCTAAGCAAAGTATCTCCTCATAGTTTTCCCTAAACTCTGAAATAGTGGGCTTTGTACATTTTCCCAGTCTTGATACTTTGCAGTTTCACCCGTCCTTTCCCCTAGGAGAAGCATTTCAGAAATGCATTTGATAATGGTAGATAAAGATCATGAAATGTTCATGAATTATGAAAACCATGCCTAAATATTTTTAACATTGGATAATGCTAGATTGCAAAGGAAGCAGAATTCTTCTCCTTTGGGACCAACGATCTTACACAAATGACATTTGGGTATAGCCGAGATGATGTTGGCAAATTTCTCCCCATATACCTATCCAATGGCATTTTGCAAAGTGATCCATTTGAGGTTAGTCAACAGCTTTTGAGTGTTCATAAGCTTTCTGAAGAAAGAATATACCATTTCAAATTCAAGGAAGATTTCACTGTTTCTCAATAATAGCAATCAAATGCTTTGCCAGGTTCTTGATCAGAAAGGTGTAGGCCAACTCATCAAAATTGCCACAGAAAGGGGTCGAGGAGCTAGGCCTAACCTGAAGGCAAGTAATTGCATTTTACATTTTCATGGCTAATGGGTGGAATTTCTTATGCTTGAGCATCAAGTATGAACCTGTTAAAAACTTGGTGGCAATTGACATGAAATCCTGCAGTGTCCATCCCTTGTCAGAAACAAAAACAAAACATCCATCATTAAATTTAGATGTCAAGTTGATTGCAGGTCACCATTTGATAATATTTTGGGTACTGATTCAAACACTATCTAATACAATTATGATGAACAGGTTGGAATTTGTGGAGAGCATGGAGGGGAGCCTTCTTCTGTTGCATTCTTTGCAGAAGCTGGATTGGATTATGTTTCATGCTCTCCATTTAGGTTGGATAGATGCTTCTTATTATCCTTTGAAATCTGTAATCTATATACTACTTATCTACATATATAACTGGATCAAATTCATTTTCAAATTGCCTTGACAGGGTTCCAATTGCCAGGCTAGCAGCAGCACAAGTTGCCATCTGATAGCACCAAGCAAGCAACTCCATATCAGATGCTTCAGTAGCTTTAAATAAATTTCTTGCTAAATTATTTATAGAAGTAACACCCACATTATAGTGGTATATAAGCATAAATAGGAAAAGTCAGCTCCTGATATTGACAAAATGGAGTTTGAGGAAAATAAAAATAAATCACTTAATTTGGCATTTGCCTGTGAGGCTAAGGATAAGAACAAGATGAAGCTCAAAAGCCTTATCTGTGTTGCATGCCCATAGTTTTGGTGTTGCAGTATTAATCAAACCCTCTGATTATAGCCAATGATAAGTTAAAACTAGTGCCATCCATCCTTTTCTATGTCTTTGCAAGTGTATAAATCTTATCTAATCCTTACTCATCAATTCTGTCTTTATATTGGGATCCTTCTCTTTATTATTTTAACCTAAACCCAACTAAGCCCAATACCATGGGCCCTCTAAACAAACAACTCAACCACTAACTTTTTGCCTTTAAAAAAAAAAAACAATATTTACTTTGGATATCCTATAATTTATTTAAATTTATTATTAATTTATTATTGATATTATTATTTTGAAATAAATTTATCATTATATTTTAAATTTTATAATAATTAAAATATTAAGTAAAAAATTATATTAAAAATTATTTTATTATTCAAAAAATATGATAAGATCAATTGAAAAAAAAATGATATTGTGCTATATGCAATAAAAAATATAATGATGAAATAAAAAATTAAATAATAGAAAATTTTGAATTATGTGACAATATGTTTAGTAAAAAAAAATCATGATAAAAGAAATAAATAACTAAAATAGGATTTTAGCTGGTTATTTTTTTCTTGCCATATTATTTTTAAAATTGTATTTTAAAATTGTAACACAGTTCTAACATAACTTTTTACTGGTTATTCTTTAATTGCTCCTAAAAAATATGGTGATAAAATTATATTAATTAAAAGATTAATGGTAAATTTGAATCGTCCACATAAATATAATAGTAAATTTACATTATTTATCTCTTTACTTTTTATAATTAAAATTGTTATAATTGAAATTATAAATTTATTATTTTATCAACAGATTAATTATTTATTGACGAGATATTTATATATATCAATAAAAGATCCAAATTGAGATATTTATACATATACAAAAAAAATAAATTTGACAATCAAACTTAAATGATGAGTATATATATATATATATATATATATATATATATATATAAGAAAAATTCGAAATAAATAAGTTGTTCAATCTTTTAAGTCATAACAAGATGTACCGTCTATAGTCTAAGACAGATTATTACAAGTCGTACATTCGAGATGAGCCTAACAAATGATCACCTGTAGAACTCGAATTTAAAACTTTTTCATCGATAAAAACGAACCTTATCTGATTGAACCAACTACTTGTTATAGAGTGTATATATTTAATTAATACTAATGTTGTTGAATTACTAACTTCACAAGTAAAATTTAAAACAGCGGTTGAAAACTGAAAAACTGCAATCAAGTAGCTGAGTATCAAGGTTCCCACGAGATTAAACAAAGAGCTGAGCTGATGAACATCCCTGCAATAGACCAATGGCATAGATGGAAACTCTGATTCTATGACATCACTTGTCAATATAAAAGGAAACTTTAGCCTTTTGAAAAGCAAAGACTTTGGTCTATGACATTCAGATTCAGTAGCATATTCCTGGGTTAGATTCTTTTTCCTCGTACGATCAGCTGAAGATTCAGTCATTCGAGTTGGTAGGATTCTGTTTTTGATAAAACAGAGTCGGACTTGACCATCATGGTGATGGGGGTATTGTGCTTTTTCTTTCTTCTTTGTTCTTTTCTTTTTTTTTTTTTTTTAGCACCAAAGTTCGAATTTTCTCAAATGAATCTCAATTAAATTGACGGTTTATCCGAGAAAAAAAAAAACTGAGAGTGCATTTTATTGAGAAGATTTTATTCCTTTTTTCAATGTTTTGAAGCTTGTAAGTTGAAAACCTCACTTGTTGTGTATGCAGCGTGGGCGAGTATTCAGCTTTGGCAAGGGAAGGAGTGAAGGCAACAAGGGCATGAAGTCCTTGGTAAGCATTTCCTCTACACTCCTCCATGCAACTATTTTTCTTTCCTTTTTTCGTTAATTTGTCATGTAGCAATGGAATTATATGGCTTTTAACCATTTGATATTTATATGAAAAAATATTTACAATTAGGTATTCGAATTTTATTTCATCAAATATTTTATCGAACGTATTAATTCTATTAATAGCAAATTGATTTAGTAAAAAACAACCAATAATATCAAAACATATGACATATTTTTATTGATTAATAGTTACCTTTAAAAGTTCTTTGAGTCTATATAATGTTATCAATTAATTTTTTAAATATATTTTCCAAAATAAATGAATGATCCCTTAAGATAATATCATTATTTGAATTTTTATTTGTAAATTTCTAATTTATTAAAAAAATTTTAAGAGTATTATTTATTTTTCAATTTTAATAAAAGTTTAAACTATCTTCATTAAAATAAAAAAAATTAGTATAATTGAATACATATGTAAAGTATGAAAATATATAGAATAATTTATTTATAGTGTTATTAATTAAATAGTATAAAAACTTTAATACTGAATAAATGACAAGGTATATAAATTTTTAAGTAAAATTTGTAAACTTTGCAATAAAAAATGATTTATAAATCATGAGAACTATGATTAAAAATCAAAACTAAAACTACAATTTAATTAAGAGTTTGTTGAATGTACTATCTACATGTAAGTTTTGAAAATTTTAAAAAGTTATGTATCATTGTTCTATTTTAAATAAAATATTTAAGTTTCCTTCATTTTTAATAGTTACATTTTTTATTTCAATATTTGAATTTTTTTATGTATGTAGTTTATGATTACAATATGAAATGTTATATTTCATCTATGTTTTCAAAACTTTTGATAAAATATTATCCTATTATATGCTAAATAAAAATTTTCAAGCTACAAAATTTATTTTTGTATGATTTCTTTTAATTTGAAATCCTAGATCCGTCACCGATCACATCATCATTTTATTAGTCAATGATGCAAAATATTCGACAAAACAAAATTCAAATACCTAATCATAAAATTTTTTCTATAAGTATGAATTAATTAAAAGTAATATAATTCAAAAGTCAAATTACATATTAACCGTTATCTTTTTTACCTACCTAAGAATTTTTTTTTTACTAATATTTGTGATCTCACTCTAAATTGTGAAGAAAAGAATATTTAAGGTTCAAAGTTTATAAATTGTTTGCAATTTGGCATGGATGATGAAATCGATTTCAAATTTTAAAAAAATTATATTTCAGCTTAATTTTGTTCAAATGAATTCCAGATAGCATTTTATACTACTTGGAATCAAATAGATTAATGAATGAATGCATTGCCAATTGTAGTTAGGAGGCAAGGGAGCAAACCTGGCAGAGATGGCCAGCATTGGGCTATCAGTGCCCCCTGGATTTACGATATCAACTGAATCATGCCAAGAGTATCAGCAGAATGCAAAAAGACTACCAAGTGGACTATGGGAGGAGGTACTGGAAGGGTTGAAAACTGTGGAGGAAGACATGGGGGCTTTTCTTGGTGACCCTTCGAAGCCACTTCTCCTTTCTGTCCGCTCTGGTGCAGCGGTAAGATATGGGCATAAGCTACTCATTACTTTGCATGTAAGAGGATCTTGTATGTGGACTAAGTTGTGCTTCATATGTCTAGATTTCAATGCCTGGAATGATGGATACTGTCCTGAATCTTGGACTAAACGATGATGTGGTTACCGGTTTGGCTGCAAAAAGCGGAGAGCGTTTTGCTTATGATTCTTACCGACGATTTCTAGACATGTTTGGGGATGTTGTAAGTGTTTCTTCTGGAACATGTCTCAACTTTCAACTCTCAATGCCTATTAATTTAGTCAATGTGCTCTGCCAAATCTCTAGCTCTCCCTAAAATGAACGAAATCTATTGCGATGTTGGTTTCTGATGGATCATTTTATTCTCGTACTCTTGTACCTCATTTCTGAATATGTTAAAACCTCTTATTCTGGAATTTGAGGTTATGGGCATTCCACACTCATCATTTGAGGAGAAGATAGCAAGGATGAAGCAATTGAGAGGCGTTGAACTTGACACTGAGCTAACTGCATCTGATCTCAAGGAGCTTGTGGAGCAGTACAAGAATGTCTATCTCAAAGTCAAGGGTGAAGAGTTTCCTTCAGGTATATATTTGATCCTACTAGGAACATATTATCAAATATGGAGTTCCAAGAAGGTTATGGTTGATATTTTTCCTAGAGGCATATATATGAAACTTAAGACTACATTCTTTTATTGGCATCAATTTGCAGATCCAAGGAAGCAGTTAAGTTTGGCCGTTGAAGCAGTTTTTAATTCTTGGGATAGCCTAAGGGCCATTAAATATCGGAGCATTAATAAAATAACTGGGTTGAAAGGAACAGCAGTAAACATCCAATGTATGGTGTTTGGAAACATGGGAGACACTTCAGGGACTGGTGTTCTGTTCACTAGAAATCCAAGCACTGGTGAAAAGAAGCTTTATGGGGAATTTTTAGTTAATGCACAGGTTATACATTCTGGAATTATATCTATCTGACTACAAATCCCCGGCTTCTCTTTGTATTTGTGATTAAGGCTAAGCAATTACTATTGTGTAGGGAGAGGATGTGGTTTCAGGAAATAGAACGCCGGAAGACTTGGATTCCATGAAAAGTCACATGCCAGAACCTTACAAAGAACTTGTTATGAACTGCAAAATTCTTGAGGAACATTACAAAGATATGATGGTAAATTTTCCAATTCAAACAGGAATCCAATTCTTTGGCTCTTATGTTATTGCTTCCCAATTTTAGTGCCTTTCGGTAACATGAAGTATGGATGATATTAACCAACTGGCTTTTTTCTTTCTCCTGCAAATGTAGGATATTGAATTCACAGTACAAGAAAATAGGTTATGGATGTTACAATGTCGATCAGGGAAGCGTACTGGTAAAGGTGCAGTGAAGATGGCTGTAGACATGGTTCATGAAGGGCTTGTTGACACTCGAACTGCAATTAAGATGGTGGAGCCACACCATCTTGACCAACTTCTTCATCCATGGGTAATATTTCCTCATAACAGTAGAAGCAAACCACACATTACAAGCATATTTCGTTTCGGTCAATTTCTCTCTTCTCTTCACATGCTTTGCTTGTTTGTTATATTAACTTTTGTGTGTATTGGAAATAATGGATCTACTGAATTTAGTTCGAAGATCCATCTGCTTACAAAGACAAAGTGGTTGCTGTGGGCTTGCCGGCTTCTCCTGGAGCAGCAGTGGGGCAGATTGTATTCAATGCTGAGGATGCTGAACAATGGAATGCTGAAGGAAAGACTGTCATCTTGGTATGCTCATGAATTAGCCTAAAAAATATATAGTGTGGGAAACGGGAAAATAGTACTTGTCATTGTCTGCGTTCTTGAGTTTCATATAATCAAAGTTTTATTGATTCTGCTAGCTGAATCTTTTTATTGTTGTTTGCGGTTGAAGGTAAGGACAGAGACAAGTGCAGAGGATGTTGGAGGCATGCATGCAGCTGCTGGGATCTTGACAGCTAGAGGTGGCATGACATCTCATGCAGCTGTTGTAGCACGTGGATGGGGAAAGTGTTGTGTTGCTGGCTGTTCTGATATACATGTAAATGACCTTGAAAAGGTACAGCTTAATTCATTTTCCTTTTCATATTTGAGTCATACCTGTGCCAGTTTCACCAAAGGGGATATTATAATGTTACCTTCTCGATATATCAGGTTCTTGTGATTGGGAACATGATGCTTAAAGAAGGAGAATGGCTCTCTCTCAATGGAACTACAGGTGAAGTGATCCTGGGAAAACAACCACTCTCGCCTCCGCTATTAAGTCGTGATTTGGAAACATTTATGTCATGGGCTGATGAAATTAGGCATCTTAAGGTTTGTACAATTACCTGCTATTATGTTGTTCTTTTCTTTTACTTCAGTAGATTGAAAAGAATCATGGTGAACATACTGGTATAGGTTATGGCAAATGTTGACACACCTGAAGATGCATTGACAGCAAGAAAGAATGGTGCCCAGGGGATTGGTCTTTGTAGGACAGAACATATGGTAATTTTTTTCTTTTACACCATTATCATTCTGATTTATCAGCTATTTGAATTGTCGTCTGTTAATAATCCATCGAAGATTAGCAAAGGAGAGAATTGTGGGAAATGAAGAGAGAAAAAGGAAGACAAATGACTTTTCTTTATTTATTATTATGCTGGAACTTTTGTTATCTGGAAACTATTGATTTTCTGTCCGCTAATCGGGCTCCCACCGCACTGGAGGATGCGTTTTATGACTACACCGCCATAAAATGTACCCTCGGGTGTGATGGGAGCCCTGCAATGGAGATCCCAAATGAAGCCTTAAGAATCAAACTTGGTCTCATGACTGATTTTCGAAACTTCAGTTCTTTGCTTCAGAAGAGAGGATAAAGGCCGTAAGAATGATGATTATGGCAGTAACACCTGAACAAAGGAAAGCAGAGCTAGACCTTTTACTTCCTTATCAAAGATATGATTTTGAGGGGATTTTCAAGGCAATGGATGGTAATTCCCTCTTTCTTGATTTATTTTCTTAGTTTTCAGGATTGAAGAATTAATTGTGTTTATCACTTTCGTTTCGATTTGTTTTTTTAATTATTTGACATTAATTTTTCCAATTTAGGCCTTCCTGTAACAATTCGATTGTTGGACCCTCCACTTCATGAGTTTCTTCCAGAGGGTGACAGAGAAAAAATAGTATGTGATTTAGCTTCAGAGACTGGCTTAAGCAAAGAAGAAGTTCACTCAAAAATTCAGAAGCTATTAGAAGTTAATCCCATGCTTGGTTTGAGGGGCTGCAGGTCAGGTTACTTCTGATATATCAGCCTACTAAATATTTATAGCAAAAGAAAGATCCAAATGCTTCTATTTTTATTCTGCTCTACATCAGAGAATAGAGATCAATTCTCAAAACTCCAATATGCATTATGTGGTTTTGATGATTTGTCTTCGTCTCAACAGGTTAGGGATATCGTCTCCCGAGCTTACTCAGATGCAAGTGCGGGCAATCTTTCAGGCTGCACTCTCGGTGAGCAACCAAGGAGTTAAAGTATTTCCAGAGATAATGGTTCCACTAGTTGGAACACCTGAGGTATGATTCTCTTCTGCCTTGTGTGTTTCTATTCATTTTCCGTATTCCATTAGTTTGTTATTTTGGATGGCTGATACTTTGAAATGCAGGAACTAGGACATCAAGTCAGTCTAATTCGCGGTGTTGCAAAGGAAGTCTTCTCTGAGATGGGTTCCTCTTTAAGCTATAAAGTTGGGACAATGATTGAGATTCCCAGAGCTGTCCTGGTTGCTGATGAAGTATGCTAAATAGATTCTCCACCTATCATTTCTTTGAAATTGTACTAGCCATGATCAATAACAAAATACATTCCTTTCACACTTCAACATGTTGCACAATAATCAATCGCCTCTCTGCTTCGATTCGTGGAAAGATGTTTAAAGACTCATGCAATTCCTAAATGCATGTTGGAAAACTAATATATGTATCTGATTATGATAGATTGCCAAGGAAGCAGAATTCTTCTCCTTTGGGACCAACGATCTGACACAAATGACATTTGGGTTTAGCAGAGATGATGTGGGTAAATTTCTTCCTTTGTACCTATCAGAAGGCATCTTACAAAGTGATCCATTTGAGGTTAGTTTTCATCATTTCTTCCTTTGTATCTATCATTGTTGCCGCCACACGATCCATTTGGGCTTGGACTCGTGCATAGATCGTGACAGCCAAAGTTTAAGTCTCAGCTCGTGACACATACAGGTACTTGATAAAAAAGGTGTAGGTCATCTTATTAAGATTGCAGTGGAGAAAGGCCGGCAAGCCAGGCCTGGCCTAGAGGCAAGAACACGAGCTTCCTTCCCATGATTTTCTCTTCTTTTCTCTTGTTTTGATACCAAATTTATGCAATGTTCATGAACAGGTTGGAATATGTGGGGAACATGGTGGGGAGCCTTCTTCAATAGCATTCTTTGCAAAGGCTGGATTTGACTATGTTTCATGTTCTCCATTCAGGTTTGTGATCTTCTCTCACTAGAAAGTTGGTTTCCTTAAAATTTCAGAAATCCTAAAAAAAAAATGGACTTTCTCTTGTCAGGGTCCCCATTGCAAGGCTAGCAGCAGCTCAAGTGGCTCTATGAATATCAATCTCAACTCCTTCCACTTTGTAAATAGAGATCAGCCATGGATGATATTGTGTAAAAATAATAGTACTAAGAAATCATCCAGAGTTTTGCAAAAATAATAGAGATCTGCCATGCTTGTGGTTGTGTTGTAAGTAACTTTTACCACAATGATATGTAAAAATCACTCACTCTTTGTTAATGGAGATATACCCATGTAGTGAAAGTTGTGTACAACAGCATTAATTTGGAATCTCATTTCAACATGTAAATATTTTTTTGTACAAAAACAAAAAGCTAAATAACTTATTTTGTCACCTATTTTTGATGTATTTACATGGTGAATGGTTGATGAATTAAAGTTCAAATGATGATTTTAGTTCAAGTGTTTGACACTAGTTCTTTTTTTTTTTAATTAAAACAATTATGATTAAAAAATTATTACTTGATTGCATCAATGATTGAATATTTACAATTGACATTCATTAAAACATACAAGAAAATAAATATTTTTTAGAAAATAGAAGATTAAAATGAAGGAGTGGTGTTAAATACGTCCTAGTCTTTTTCTCTTTGCACCTTTAATTTTTTTCAAAAATTTTTTAGTAAAATTATTTAATTATCCTTTCTCTCTCACATAAATTTTTGAAAATGAATTTTTAAAAAATTATAAATCTTTTCAAAAATAAATTTTTAAAAAATCATAAACTTTGTTGAAAATTCATTTATAAGAGATACAATTGTGCAAATTTAAAAAACATTTTAAATAAAATTTTCATTATTCTATTTCGTAAAAATAGATTTTTGAAAAATCATATGATTTTTTTAAAATTTATTTTCGAAAAGGTTTATAAAGTTTTAAAATTTTATTTTAGAAAAATATATAATTTTTTGAAAAATTATAAATTTTTAAAAATTTGTAAAAAAAATAATTAAATAATTTTATTTATAAAAAATTTTGAAATTTTAACCTTCTCAAAACAAAATTATAGTAAAGGAAAGTGGGCCTTGGGCCCAAAAACTTAGAGGAAGAATTTACTTTAAAAAAAAAAACCCTAGAAAAACCCTATGGCCGTACCAAGCATTTTCTTTTAGCAGATCAAAAGAGAAGGAAGAAAATGGCGATAGAGAGCTACGTGGTTGTCCACAACATAGCGAAGAGGCACAACGTCGGAACGCTAGCAAGAAGCGCAACCGCCTTCGGAGTCAGCGAACTAATCCTAGTTGGCCGCCGTGACTTCAACGCCTTTGGCAGCCACGGCTCCACCTCCCACCTCCGTTTCCGCCACTTCCATTCCCTCACCGACGCCCGCCTTTTCCTCAAAGTAAACATCCTTTTCCTCTCCCTAACAAACCCATGTCTCAAAGTCCCTTCTTTTTTAACCTTTTATTTGGATTCCATTTTTTTGTTAATTGTTGACTGTATTTTTCTTTTAAGGAGAAAGATTGTGATATTTGTGGGATTGAGATCACAGAAAATGCCGTTTCAGTGACTGATCATCCTTTCAAGAAAAGCACTGCTTTTCTTCTTGGTAATGAGGTAAAAACCTTTTGCTAAATTTAGCTTAATTTTCTAATATTTGGGCTTTTTTTATTCAACAGCTTCTGTTTTTTTTAATGTTTTACAGGGAACAGGGCTTTCTGCTAAGGAATGTGAGATATGTGATTTCTTTGTTTACATTCCTCAGTATGGAGGTGGCACTGCCTCTTTGAATGTCACTGTTGCTGCTTCTATTGTTTTGCATCATTTTGGAGGTATTGCCAATCTCTGTCTTACTTTATAAATGCCTGTAACTGTTAGCTTGCCGATTTTAATGACCTTTTCTAGGTGTATTAAGTATAACAATAACAGAATCCTGGTGGTTGAATTGCTTCATTTCATGACTTTTTTTGTGGTTGTTAATTTTCCGTTGGAGTAGATAGTTTCTTAGAATTGAAGTTTTACCTCTTGGAATCCACTTGATAATGGAGAAAAGTGAAAATTTTCCATAGTTTCTTGTGAGGTAGAAAAGGATTGCTATGCTTGCCTTAAATTTTAGAGAAAAACCAGTCAAGATCATTAACCATTAAAATCCTAAAGTTTTTATAAGTATTTGTTTATTATTTCCCATTGGATTTGTTATCTGGTTACTGGAATAAGTTGATGGGTGTATATTCATATGCACATTGTATATGTCTAGGCTATTGAACTTGGTTCTTTTATTGTAATCAATTGGTCATCAGCGCCCTTTATGTGTGGATTTGTAGCTCCTATCATCCATCATGCTAAGTGAAACTTTAACTAGAGTTTACCCCTCCATAGTGTTTCTTGACTTGTGTCTATATTTTGTTGCTTATGTGCAACTTCTGGTCCTTACTGTATGTTGTTTAAGCTGGTGAACATGTTTAATTTGACTTGAAGTGGATACTAGAATTTATGTTATTTCTCTCAAGTTCCTTATGCAACCTGTCTGTCAATTTTCTTGTACATTGCCTCATGCAGTTTGGGCTGGTTTTCCTGAGAGAATTCGTGATGGAAACAAGTTTGTTGTGGCTGAGAGACCTTTAAAACAGGTGAGCCGAAAATACTGCACGGAAACAGATGATTGTATAATTGAGGAGAGAAGGTCAAGAAGGGAAAGTGCTTCCAATGGATTCTTCGACGACAGAAACAATGGTGTAGCTTCCGCTAACTTATTGGATTCACTGTTTCCTGATGAGTGATTGAGAGAATAAGAGATTGAATTTTTCTGTGGATGATACAAATTTTGCCACTGAATGTTGATATTAATATGGTTCAATGATCCACCTTATTGACAACTGTTGAAACATGTGGCAAACAGCTTCTACCTAACCATGGACTGAAGAAAACCCGATTATTATAGGAAACTGCCGTCTGGGAATCCATTGATGGAAAGCTTGCGAGGGACTGCTTTCAGAACCAGTGTGCCGCAAGCAAATGACTGAGGACAATAATTGAATTTTGTCTGATTAGCATCTTCTGTAATTGTAATGTTCATGTCAAGGATCACGTTATTGTTTTGTATTTTATAATAATTACCTTTCTCTCTCTCCTTATGGGGTGTTGTGTTTGACATAAAATGTCAACAAGCTTCCCCAAAGGATGCAACAAGCTTCCACTAAAACCTATGGGGAATGTTCATTTTCAGTGGACATAATACAATTTAAACCAGGCATGACCATGTGTAACACATGCAACTTGATGGACTCATTGTACGGGCCTTTGTTCTGATATTGACAACTGTTATTTGCTTTTAAGCATCCATTCCTTGTCATAGGTCAAAGTTAGATGAATCCAGAGGGTCGTCTACTCTAATGCTTGCTCTTTCTTAGATCCAGAATCTTAATAGTCTTGGTAAACCTCATTAGTTTTTTGGTCAAATCTTTGAGTAAAAATTTAGATTACAGCTGTAGCTCGATCCATTGACATTTTGATCACTGGCATAATTATAGTTGTTTTGTTTTGTACTTATACTGAATCCAAAAATTTTAAATATAATATGATATGAAAATATATAAAAATATATATAAATAACACGATTTAAAATTTTAATAAAAACTGAAAATGAGTTTAACATGTGAATGTAATAATTTTTGTATTTTATATGTCTTAAATATGAAATAAATAAATGAGTATACAAAATTTTGGATGTTATTTATACTTTCCAATTTCCTGTATACAGTAGGTCTATTGAAAAAAAAAGAAGCAAGAACCTTGGTTTCATTGGTAGTAGTTAGTGTAGCTTTGGCGTGTTGTTAAAGGAGCTCAACAATCTTAGCACCATTGTCAACTCCCGCCACGCTACTTGGGGAGCAGTTGGGGATCATTTGTCTTTTTAACTACTTTTAAGTCATTGTAATTTGCAACCACATTTCCAATTTTCTCCTATAACCCTGTCTTGCCCGCTAGATCTGTCTGTCAATTAGAGCTTCCTTGACTCTCTAGATGAAACTACAACAGTTTCTTGCGAATTGAGTGGCGATCGAGGGCTAAAACTTCCAATGCAGACCAGAAAGATCCAAGAGTTGTTTTGCAGTAATCAAGCATCTTACATGTTGAGTATTGTTAGAAGAAAACTCTGGCAGCTTTGCTCGAGAATAAGGTGGCTGATAAGGAAGCGACCAAGGCCGAAAGTTATCATCAGGAGGTTGGGGAGGTTGAACTCTAAAGGTCAACGAAAAGGAGATGTTGGCACCAAGAATTCCAACATTCATTTATATGGAAACTTGGGTTTTTCTAATCCTAAAAGGCCAATAAGAATTGCTACATTTAATGTCGCCATGTTCTCTCTTGCACCTGCCATTTCAGAAGCTGAGGAAGCAGGTCTATTTAGTTATGGAGAGGAGGATTTTATGGGATTGAAAAGTCCACTCGAGTTCAACCTTCACACAAAGTCTCCAAATTGTTATCCAAAGAGTATACTAAAGCAATCTCCCTTGCATAATTCCCATAGTAGTCCTGAAGGTCTCTCTAAGCAAAAGAAGCTCTCGAGATCGAAACTCAAGGTTTCAATCAACCTTCCTGACAATGAGATTTCATTGGCACAGAGTAAACTGCTTGGCTTTGTCGAAGACGTAAAAGGGGGCTCATCAGACATGACCAACAGCCGAATCAATAAGGGCAATGGTATTATGAGGTCCCCTGTTTGTTTGCCTTCAAGTATGATTAACTTCTGGAATGAAGGGAGCTTGAAAAGTGGTAGAAGCATTGCACAAGTGCTTAGAGAGGTGGATGCTGATATCTTGGCTCTGCAAGATGTGAAGGCACAGGAAGAAAAAGGCATGAAGCCTTTATCCGAATTAGCTGCAGCCCTCGGGATGAAGTATGTTTTTGCTGAAAGTTGGGCTCCAGAGTACGGAAACGCTATCCTGTCGAAATGGCCAATCAAGAGATGGACAGTACAAAAGATAGCCGATGATGACGATTTCAGGTGAGCATTTCTAGATTTCTGAAGAACAATCAACTTTTGGAAAGCCATGATTCGTACTAACTTAATGTTAGACTGTTATCAGGAATGTGCTTGAGGCCACAATTGATGTACCATGGGCAGAAGAACTGAACTTCTATTGCACCCAACTTGACCATTTAGATGAGAATTGGAGAATGAAGCAAATAAAAGCAATAACTGAATCAAACTACTCTCCCCACTTATTACTAGGTGGTTTGAACTCCCTGAATGGACCAGATTACTCATCAGAAAGATGGACCGACATAGTCAAGGTCATATTTCTTATAGTTTCAAACACTCTAGAGCTGTATAAAAGACTAAATTTTTTTTATACATAAAAAACCGCAGCATGAGATATCAGAAAAGATTGTAGATGTTGAAATTTGAACTTCAGATTATTGAATGTCACCTCTTAAGAGTAGTTGCATGAATCGAGTTAAGCTCAGGTTCATAAAAGACTAAATTTTCATTTTAACTCTTCTAAGGCAATACCAATATTGCAGTACTATGAGGACATAGGCAAGCCTAGACCAAGAACTGAAGTAATGAAGTTGCTCAGGGGAAAAGAATACACAGATGCAAAAGACTTCGCCGGGGATTGTGAACCAGTAGTCATCATAGCCAAAGGCCAAAGTACATGACACATCTCATTATACACTTTGCCCCTTTTTTTTTCCTTTTTAGATGTTCTAATTCTGATAAATATGAGTTCTGATAATGCAGATGTTCAAGGGACATGCAAGTATGGAACACGAGTCGATTACATTTTAGCATCATCAAACTCTTCATACAACTTTGTTCCTGGATCATACTCTGTCATTTCATCGAAAGGTACATCAGATCACCATATTGTTAAGGTTGATATTGTGAAAGGAAGTGAAAAATCTCAGCAAAATGTCATCAAAAGACACAGAAAATCTACCCCAAAGATTATACGAGTCACAAACTCAAGCTGCTCTGGAGGCATATGGAAAATAAATGCATGAAATTTTTTTCCCTTCTAATTTATTGTTAATATTGGGTATTGAACAAATAAAAGCATGTATATCAATATCTATTTCTGATTTTGACACATAATTTCACAGAAATCAACGTAAGATATATAGATTGAGCTTGTATGTTACAATGAAATTTCACTCATTCTCTTTCTATGGGTAGTTATTGGGATTTCTTCTTTTTTTTTTTTTTTTGGTGCTAAAACTGTAAAATTTGAGTATCAAATTTGCTAGCAGTTTGCTAGGTCATTGGTTGGTAAACCACCATAAGCCAAAAGGCAGGAGTTAAACATGCAGAATATGAAAGCACAGTTTTCAAAAGGCTTAAATAGAATGATAGCTTAATTTAATTAATTTATACAATCAAAAAGTGATATATAATAAATTTGTTATTCAAATTTCAATATATATAATTCCTTACTCTATCTCCCGACTGCACTTTCTTTTGTTAAAAAAAAAAAAAATTCTTAAGCAAACCTCACGAGTCATTTTCTTTAAAAAAAATAATAATAACAAGCAACAAATCAATTAATTAAAATACTAAAGATATAAAATATTTCCGTAACTATTATGACTAATACTTTATCAGAACATGATAAATTTTAATTTCAAGTTTGCTTATTGAAAATGAAAGATCATTTTCTCAGAGAAAACTGGGTAATTAAAATAATGAAATTATGAAAAGCATGCCAGCTTTCTAAGCCATTGAAAATTTCAGCTGCAAGCTGCTAATCTAACAAGTTTGTTGACTATTAAAAAAATTTCTGCCATAAAAGCATGATGCTGAGTTTGCCGTTCTTGTAGTGTAAACCTTTTACATGGGCATGGTAGCCGGCTAGGCCCACGGGCTCCTTTCAATTTGAATTGAACTTTGAATATAATTTGATTTCAACTTAACTAGAAATGAAATATTATTTTAATTTAATTGTAATCTCAAAATATATTTAAAATATCAAAAGACAAAGTTTTAGAAGTGTCAATTGAGTTCAATTCGGCTCATAAACACCTATACCGTAATGTTGGGTAATCATATGTGTCATAACGATTTTATATCCGTCCGACGAATTTAAAAATAAAATAAAAAAATAACGAAATCGTCACCAATTTTTTTTTAGTTAGGTGTGATTGACCACCTATTAAAACATACCATTTTAATAAAATCTTTAAATTAATTAAAATTATTAAAAAAATTATTTTAAGGTCTGCACAACAGTCTGGGTTCGGAGTCGGTTACGTATGAGGAAGGATTCGCACCTTCACAGCGCTCGTTTAAAACGGTACCAAATAACTACGTGTTATCTTTTGATTTTGATAAAAAACAGTCCTATTTTCGGTATTTGAAAAATAATTTTCTTTGATTTTTTTTGTTTATTATTTTTTGTTTTTTATATTCAAATATTATTTAAGAAAAATAAATTAGAACCTTTTTATTGAAATTATTCTTAAAATATTTCAGTACGTTAGTAACATTAGAAGAACTATTTCTCATCTAAAGATTTTTTTAGGCATCACTTCTCGGAATACCTTAGAATCTCATCTTTGGAGGTCCAAATTTACTTTTCGTAAAAAATTATGTCATATATGCAATGCAAATAATAACATGTTGATGCACACATTTTATTCTCTTTTTTCAAAAATTTTATTAATTGATTTATTAAATTTTTTATTTTTAATTTTGGAGAAATTTTTTTTATTGTATTGAAGTTTTTTATAAATATTCCAATACACTGGTAATATTTTAAAAAAAACTTCTCACCTAGGAATTTCGTAAAGTATCTCTACTCGGAATACTTTTGTAATCCCGTCATTAGATAAAATTTCATTTTTTCTTATTTATATTATTATTTTAATAAATTAATTAATTTTATTTTTTATCAAAAAAAAGAAAATTTTATTGTATTGAAAATTTTTTTTATAAATACTCTAATATACGGGTAGTATTTTAAAAAAAATCTTCTCACCTAGAGATTTCGTAGGCATCACTACTCGAAATACCTTTAAATCTCATCATTTGATAAAATTTCCTTTTCTTACATTTTTTATTACTTTTTTATTAATTAATTTTTATCAATTGTTGTATATTTTTTTTTATTCTAGTTCATTAAAATTTCGCTAAGTTTATGTTTAGTAATTATTTTAAATTAATTAAATTAAAACTATTTTATATTTTCTATCATTTATTTTATTTATATGAAAAGTTTATAAAAAAATTAAATAAAAATAACAAAACATCATAAATTAAATAATAGATATATATAAAAATTTTGAGCAAAAAAAATAAAAGAAATAAAAAGTTATGATGAAAAACCTAAAATGCCCTTGGTCAACACGGTTAAAATTCAAAGGCTGCTTAAACGGCTCAGTCAACCAGCTTGGACCTATAGTCAACGGCTTAATCGGCTTGGCTTTGGGTATATGGCTCAGCTTGGTGGCTTGGCTACCATTTAATCAAAACGACGTCGTTTTGATTTCACTATAAACCCCAAAACATCACATCTCCTTCATTTTTCCTTTCTTCTCCTTTTCTCTTCTTTTTTTCTCTCTCTTCCAAAATTCTTCTTCTTTCTCCTTTCCAGTTTTTGGCGATCCAGTTACCGCCAGATGCCATCGTCGGTCACCAGTGCCATCGTTGGTAACCGTCGTCGGTTACTAGTAAGTGTGTCAAAAATTTTTCAAAAAATACCTAAAAAATTATTTTCGACCTCGTGAACTCAAATCCAACCTTTTTTTTGTGAGAAACGGCTTCGAACGATGTAGATCGAAGCCCAAAGTTTTGGTTAAAATAAAAAAAAATTATGTTTTTGGCGCTGAGATTGTTTTTTTTTTTTTTTTGGATTATGTTTTTCTGTTTTAGTGTTGGGCTGTTTGCATTTTTAGCTTCTGTGTTTGAGAGGTTTTTTTTTTTATGAAATGAGCTAGGGTTTTTTTTTTTAATGGATCCTCCTTTGAAAAGGAAGGAAGCTAAGGTCTTTATAAAACCGGACGTATGTTCGGGAAGGTAGTCTAGGAGTCTGTAGGTGTGGCTGTAAGTGTCTGTAGAGCGTGATTGTTGGGGTGACGAAAGTCATAAGCGTGGCTGGTTTGATGGGACTGGTCTGGTGGCTAAATGGGGCTATTGGGGCCGACGACGCCACCATTTTCTAGCTCTCTTTTTTTTTGTCTTTCTCTTTTTCTTCTTTTTTTAATTATTATTATTAATATTATTATTAAAATTATTATTAATATTAAACTGAAAATGAAGATAGTAGACCCAGACAAAATCAGTGTCTACAGCTGCCCTTCTTTACCTATTTTTTAGAATCAGGAATAAGGCAAAGACAAACACAATGATTTTGTCTAGAAATAATATCGTGGACTTCTTAAAAGTTTTTCTTTCTTTTTTTTTGTTATTTTTATTTTTTATTATTTTTTTATTTTTGAAAAGCTCTTCTCAATAGAGGCTCAACAATTTTAAAATTCTCATCTTGAAAGAGCTCCTCTCAACAGATGTTTAATAACTTTAAAATTCTCATCTTGGAAAAGCTCATCTCAACAGAGGCTCAACAACTTTAAAATTCTCTTGAAAAAGCTCCTCTCAGTAGAGGCTCAACAACTTTAAAAAATTTTCATCTATTTTCAAATTTGAGTTCTTATCTTTGAACAAGTAAATTTCTCTCTTTTAAATTCTTTTGTTTGATCATTGTCTTTACCAAAATCTTGTTTTTCATTAAGAAATGGAAAATTTCTATCTTTGTTACAACTTATCATGGATGCATGTACTGAGTGTTCTAAATGCAATGCATGTAATGCAATCAAAATTATTCATTGTAGTAAAAAGGTTTTCGAAACTCTCATTTTTGGCTTCTTTTATCAGAATTCTTATATGACCAATCTGTTCTTAACATCCGACCACAATATTTTTCTTCTTCAAAAGTCTGCAACATCAATGTCTTGTCATGCTTTTTTCATCCTTTTTCATTTGCCTTTGTCAACTTTAAAAGTAATGCTGAGATCTTTCATGTTTTTTTTTCTTTTCATCATTTTAAGTTCAAGACAAATAAAATGCAATCACACATTTCTCTTATTCACTTGTACAATGAACAAAAATATCAGATAAGGATAAAGAAAATGATAGGTGTATTTCATTAAGCTGATAACAAGTGCATGGTAAAGTGTTTGAGTTGAAACAAAGGTGCCCAAATAATGATCAAAAGATAATCATGAACAAAATATTCCCAGATTTTTTTTTAAAACTAAATCAGATGACTTCTTTAATTCTTCAAAGTTCATCAAACTATACTTGCCCCTGTGTTATGAGATCTTCTTCTGATGATGCTTTTGCTTCACATTCAAGCCGTCTTTTCAGGTTTTCAACTTAAATAAGTCATCATTTTTTCTCTTTTTTTTTTTTTAAAGCAAAATATTTCTTCACAACATCTGAATTTATTGGGGTAGGCAAATCACATCTGTCTATTTTTGTCAAAATCAATGCCTCACCAGAAAAGGCCTTTTTCACCATATACGGGCCTTCCCAATTTGGTGTCCATTTTCTTCGATTATCATGTTGATTTGGAAGGATTCTTTTTAGCACTAAGTCTCCTTCCTTAAAGCAACGAGGATGAATTTTCTTGTCATGTGCTCTCATCATCCTCTTTTGATATAATTGACCATGATAAAGTGCTGACAGTCTTTTTTCTTCAATGAGGTTTAACTGCTCGTAGCGATTTCGAACCCATTTTGCTTCCTCTAACTTTACCTTCATCAGGACTCTCAGTGAGGGAATTTTCACTTCGACCAGTAGCACAACTTTCATTCCATATACCAAAGAGAACGGGGTGGCCCTAGTAGATGTTCAGACCGATGTTCTATAAGCATGTAAAGTAAAAGGTAACTTCTCATGTCAATCTTTGTAAGTATCAGTCATTTTCTTCATAATTCTTTTGATATTCTTATTCGCAGCCTCCACTGTCCTATTCATTTTCGGACGATACGGTGTTGAATTACAATGACAG